ACCCTAAGCAAGACCAGCTACTTGCACCCCCTAGCCTCCCTCCTGTGGCACAACCCCCAACCCCTTAAAACACCCCCCCCCCCCGCGTGGCTCCATTCACCTGCTGGCTAGCTGCCACAGGAGGATGTCTGTCGGGAGCCGGAAGCAATAGCCAGACTGCTATTGGCTAGTTTAATTTGAAATAGCCAATAGCAGACTGGCTATTGCACCCGCCCACTGAACAGTGGAGCGCACCTGAGAGAGAAAAGCAGTCTGCTATTGGCTTTTGAAATTTGAAAGACAGGGGGGGGTGAGTGGTCAAGGCTGCGCCCTAGGCAGCAGTGCAACCTAGGCGTTCCAACCTAGTCTGTTCCTCACACATCATGTTCTTCTGTGCCAAGTAAAATAAACAAAGGGATTGCCATGAACGACATTTAGTTTGCGCCTATTTCCATAGATCGGACCAGTTTATCCAATCTATTTAAAAGGCAAAGTCCAGCTTTTGCAGAGAAATAATAATTGCACACACATTAATAAAAGAAAACAAAAACTCTGCAACAGTGATTGTTCCCAAAAACTCTCACCTATGTACAAATGGGAGCTTTCCTTTTTAGACCAACAATGGTGTGCAGCTATCAAAGCTAATATATTGTACTCAAAATGTATTGATTGATGGCCAAATAGGTAACATACTTCATATATTCTGGTACTGTAGAAATATCCAAAGTTTTAGGCTTTCCATTTTTACGTTTATGTCAGACTTTACAGGTATTCTGAACAAAACTTTCCCCTCAATTAGCCCTTTTGAGCACTGACATTGACAACTATCCTCTAGTACAGGGGTCAGCATCCCGCGGCTCCGGAGCCGCATGTGGCTCTTTCATCCCTCTGCTGCGGCTCCCTGTCCAGAGGCAGAACTACCGCCGGGGCCTAGGGGCCTGATATTGGGGGGGCCCAGTGAAGTCCAGTGTTGGGCACCCCATCGGTGGAATATGCGGGAGTGCAGGGTCCCGCACGGCCGACGGGCTTCTCAGCAAGGGGGCGGGTCCTGTGACTCACCTCCTCTCCCGGCCCCTAGTAACAGGCAGCGGGAAAGAAGGTGTGTGTCACATGCCCCGCCCACTGCAGTGCACACCATTTGGCTGCGAGGCTTGGCAGGTGAGTCCCAATGAGGAGTGGGGAAACAGCTGTTCGGTCCTGAAATGTCACTTCTATCCGACTGAGTACGGTGGAATGTGAGATCGCACTCGGAGTCGGAGAGAAGTGACATTTCAGGACCGAACACCTGTTCCAGGGCAGATCAGTTCTCCTGCACCTACGATTTGCGATGCCGATCAGCCCTGGAACAGCTGAGAAAGCGTTGGATTGCTTGACCTATTGACGGTCACACATTTCCCCGCCAAAGAACTGGGCGCTATTACATTGAAATGAGTCACCAGTCACACATTGTAACGTAGCCACAAACTTTGATAGAACACTGCCATCAGGGCGGTATGGCCGGTACCCAGGTGAGGGTTCCAGGCAGCCGGGGAGGGCCTCTTACACAAGTATCAGCCATACCAGGGGCGGCATGGCAGAGGTGACAGGGGAGGGGTGGAGGAGGCCAGGCACCAGCAGTAGCAGGTAAGAGTTGGGAGGAGGTACAGGGAAAGGGACCCCGGCGACCAGTCCACCTGAGGCCCTGCAGACCCCACCACAGAGAGTCTCAGATGGGCTGCACAGGATCTATGGTGTGCTCTGCAGGATAACTCTCAGGTGGGGTCTCCAGTGCGTTACTAAGCCCAGAGTCCAGTGCGTTACTAAGCCCAGAGTCCAGTGCGTTACTAAGCCCACATATACCTATTTACATGCTATACATAGCATAAAAAAATACATATATGCAGTGTTATCTTCATTTTATATGTCAAAAGGGTTTTGTGGCTCCCGGTGTTTTCTTTTCTGTGGGAAACAAGTCCAAATGGCTCTTTGAGTGTTTAAGGTTGCTGACCCCTGCTCTAGTATATAGGTGCCCAATTACTCATATACTACTAGCTGCTAGAAAACTAATAGCTAACTATGGGAAACTGGACTTTGCTCCTTCAATGTAGGATTTTCTTCAACAAGTGTCCTTACATTGTTTTTACGAAAGATTGATTGCATATAGACTCCAGCCTCAGAAAGCTTTCAATTTCTATTGGGATTCATGGCTGAACTATGGCTGTAACTTAAAGATTATCAGATGATAACTACATGAATCTTGTTTTTTTTCCCTTACTTCTCTTGTCCATCTCTCTCCTCTATACAGTCTTTTGTTCTGTTCCTTTGTCCTTTTTTCCCCTTTTTTCCTTTCTTCCTTTACTACTCACTTTCCTCTGCCTAATAGTACCTTTTAATTTATGGGCCAATATTATCCTGTAGTTCACTGTGGATAAGGTAATGCAGTTTACTATGAATATGTAAAGGATGCTGACTTTTCTTACTGTCACTCAGTTTGAATCCTTTCTGATTATATTGAATGCTATATCTGTGTTTTATAAATACTGAGATTATGTTTCTGATTTCGATATTCCGAGCGATTACACAGATTTAATTCAAGATCATTTGCTTCATATACCTTACACACGTCTATACTGTACTGGTTTACTGTTCTGTTATAATATTTAAAATCAATAAACATTTATTGCTTAAAAAAAATAATGAATAAACATGCATGTATTATTTTTTTTTGCATTTGAGTCTGCAATGCATTGCCATTGCAATCAGTGGATTGCTAGACCAATGTTATGTCTCCTGCAGGCTCTTCTTCCCAGTCAAAGCTTAGGTAAGGACTTTTAGCTAAGAGAAGATGACTATTGTTTTTTTGTGCCCGATCACTTGTACAGTGTGAAGAGTGTGCAAAACCCCCTCCTCCCCTGATGCTGGCTATCCTACGCTCTGCTGTCCCTCGTGTGGGCATGGAAACAGCATGGCGGATGTCTGCAGGTGGACAGGAGGGAGAGCTTCACTCTGGCTACGGAAACCAGAAGCGACAAGGTTTTCAGCACTTCCAGTTTTAGCTTGTGTTATTTCTCTGGCAGCTTCAGTAGGGTCGATAGAAGACATTAGAGGTCTAACAGACGCCCTTATGTCTCCATAAATAGGACCTGTCACTTGTTAGCCCCATATGTGATAGCAATATCACACCACAAAGAGTGCGTTCCAGAGCATTTGGCCACTGCATGCAGGGGCGGAAGGGGACACGGCGGTGCAATGAAGTCAATGGCGTGGACATTAGTGCCTGCGTTCCGGTCCAGTGCAATCTGTAAAAAATAGTGCATGTGTGCCACGCGTTCGGGTGCGGGCAATCGCACTGTGGGCAGTGGGCATGGCTGCGGTGCCATTGACTTCAATGAACCCCCACGCTCCCTCCCGCCCCCGAACACAGGGAGCCGGCCGGGTTGCGTTCCAGAGGCCGAATGCTGTGGAACGCACTCTTTGTGGTGTGAACTTGGCCCTTAAAAAATTAAGTGACATATAAAATAATAAAAAAATAGTTTAAAGCCCTCCACCCCAATATACATACACATTCAAATGCAAAAAAGCGTCAGGTGCGCCTGCTTGTGAAAATGACAATTGTGCCACACATTATGCATTGCCACAAACAGAGCAAGAGCTATAATTCTAGGGCCATCACTCAATGTCAATTCTAAATTGATGAGCAGTAAAGGCTTTTAAAGCATCACCCATGGGCAATGAGTTACTACTGTATTTTTTTTTTTTTTTTTTTGCCATTTC